TATGTACGATTTGATCCTCTCCATTTGTGAGTAGCAGTTAAAAAAACTGAGTCAATGAAAGCTTTTGGTGAAGTGAAGATGAAGGTTTGTTTGTTAAACCTACTACAGAAAAATTAATTAATTAAAATGTGTTTTTATTTGCTTACCAGGAAAGCTCCAATGAGATTGCGTAGTGGTCAATCAACAATTAATAATCAAGCATCATTATACGCAGTTGACCTTAATTAAAATTTCCGAATTCACTTTCGACGGTACTTGATGCGTCATTTGAAAAATGAAGCACTTTTGATAGGTTGCTTTCTTGCACAGTGTGGGTGATAAAATTTTAATTTCGTTCACTGCTGCGGAGAAGGCTATAATATGGCAACAATTTGTCGGTCGCTTCTTTAATTAATCTTATTGGGAAGACATCAATCTTTTCTCATCACTAAATAAAATCAATAGAATGTTATTGGACCATAATTTTCGATTTATGGAATGTACACGAAAATTACACGCGTCTTGCTGTCACCGATGAGCTGCTTCTTGCAATTTCTCAATCCGTGATGTCGCGTGCTTGATTTCAACTTGTCCATGACTATAATTTAAGATTGACGACAACGATTAACATAACCCCACTGGTCACTTGAAAGAAAGTAAATAAACGGCTGGAGACAATGCGGCTCTGTAATAGAAGTAAGGCTGCGTATTTTATATCTTTCTTGATTATGTCACTCTTTGAGGATGTTCAGCACATTAATGCGGTGGAAAGTTCGTGACAGTAACCTCCTGGACCTACTAGTGAAGTAGCAGTTTTTTTTACAGAACTAATTACTGCTTGATTATTGCTAGTGTGCGTTTCAACTTTAGGATAATCCTGCACAGAACGCATGAGAATTAAAGTGAGTCGTTCCTTCGGCGAGTGTAGTGTTTTGATTTACAAACAATAATTACCAGAATGGATACATTTGTAGATGAACCCTGACGTTGGCAATTTAGCTCTTCAGTTCATAACTGTGATTTCTAATTCCTTTGCACAGGCTCATTTTGGAACATTTCACTAAAAGTTCTGTTTGACTGTTTGTACAGTGCAGTTGTACAACTTTCAATCATGTCAGCCCACACGATATTTAATAAGCTTCAAGTTGGCGAGCATAAAAAAAATTCAAGATGAGAGAATACACTCAAGGTATAAAATAATTCGTAGTTGCTTATTTGATCCTGGTGACGGAAGAGTACCTGAGCGCTTAGCACCACAAAAAGTTAAGACGGATGTCAAAGATTACCGTGAGTTTGAAAACTAATGGAACTATTCTCTACCTTGTATTCATTAAATAGCCAAGAGTAACTACAAATGGAGCACATTCGTAGGGTCTCTTGCCTCCTGTACTCTTCTTACTCGGGATGACACTCGAGACGTTTGTCTTTGACAATGCATGCATGACCTCGGTAAGAGAAAGTGGTAGATTGAGAACCTGTGAATTATTACTGTGTAAAACGCCATATAAACGCAGAAAATATCGTCGAGCAGTGGGTATCTACAAACATTAGGCTATCGACATTGCTGATTCTGGCAGTATGCAAGACGTGTGTCATATGAACTTCGTTATAGACCTCGCTCACCGTAGAGTCTCTGTGGCTCAGTGGTTAGAGCATCGAAGCGCGAAATCCGAGAGTCTGAGGTTGTCTTTGTCCCACGCTCGTGACAAGACGAAAAAAAAAATCCTTTCTCTATATATCTGTTGAACTTTAAATTAGTCACAGCTGGTTTATTCCCGTTCGAAGAATATCAACGAATACAATTTTACCCTTTATAAAGAATCCAACCAGGTTCTTACGTTGTGATCGAACTACTTTCATAAGTAATTCATGTGATTTTCAATTTTTAATAAACAAACATCTCAATCCCTTGTTTTGGCCTAATTTCTAGAATCTCTTGAAATAACGCTGAAATTCTTTCGTCTTGGGAGATCTTCAAGAGACTAAAAATAACCAAAATAACCCTTAAAAAATAACTTAACCTTGAAATTAACCTCAAAATAACTCTTGAGAACAAGAACTTCTACAAGTCGAGCCATTCTTGTCAGTTCATATTAAGTAAATTAATTAAAATTATTTCGAGCACATATGAGACACAACAATCTTTTTTTCCTTGCAAATTTATTGAGACAGGTTAACCTTCTCATTAAGTTAATCTAGCTTCCCTGCTGTAGCTAGGTATAAGTAAACTTTCGAGTTTGATTATCAGAAAAAGAGTCACAGAAGCTATTGATTTCATGCCTGCTTCACCCTGCAGTACATTTTGTCTTAATGGTGAGATATCGTTTCATGGGTTTGATGGTAAATAACGCACATTTTATTTTACTGTGAATGTGATGCCTTGAATGGATATCTTAGTCACTATTTTGCTTAAAATGAACTTTATTTTTATATTATTAGCAGATGGAGGGCAGTAAATTATTTTTCATCTTTCTACTGAGTACCGACGTTTCGTACGGTGCTGAAAACTTCATACGAGATGACAAACGAGGAGAACGACACGCATATTTGGCGAGGAATCCTGCAAAGCGACTTAGTTCTGCGATTCTGGATAGTTTTATAGTCTCCGAGCCCATGGGGTGTGTTTTTCGATGTATTAATCACCAAGAATGTTATCCAGTAAATTTTGCTGCGGTTTCACATGACGGAAGGTATATGTGTGAGCTATTGACCGCGGATAAGTTTCAAAACTCCAGCAATTTTTTTCATAGCGTAAGCTTCGACCATTATAACATGATGGTAAGTGCGAAATAATATGCCGTTTTAACAAGTGGTTGTAATAGTAACCCATCAAGCCGAGAAAATTTGGTACATCACATGACCGTACGACCTACTGAACATAAAAACATGCGCGAACAATTGAGTCGCGCGCAAAAATCTTGGCTTTTCAAAATATACAATATGTAAATAGGGGGAAGGCAAAGGTAATACACTTGCGTGCTTACGCGTGTAAGGAAATCGTATGAGCTTGCGCTGATTGACGTAATTATGATGAGGTGCTCATACTCCGTAAGGCTAGTTGATGTGAAGTCCGAGCAAACAAAGGATTTGTCACCTCAGATTTTGAGAGGAAATTCATACTGATTGAGTCGTAGTTGAAATTAATGCCTGAAATTAATGGAAAGCCTCCTCTTTCAAGTCGTAGTCTCACTTTGACCGGATTAATCTTTAGGGATATATACGTCAATGTAGCTTTATTGTATTTTAATATATTTCCTGCTTTTCTTCTCCTCTAGATATTTGCACCAATAACCCAGTCATTATCACCATCATGTTAACTCTCATTGTTCGCTGAACCTATTAAAAAATGAAACCTTCTTTCATTGTTAAATGAAAGAAGAAAAGCCAATCACTTGTTCTTATCAAGAGACATATGTAATATTTACAACTGTAACGCTTTCCTCCATCTGTAGCTGTTTGGTTAGCCCAAAGAGAAATTCATCCTTTTCTTGAAGGTCGTGTTTTGGACATTCATATTCGAAGCGAATGTTGCAGCGATCCAGGAATAGCACCCCCCTGTGGTAACGCTTACATTAAGGTGGATGGGACAGATTATTCTCCTCAAGGAGGGGGATATAACGTTGTTGTTGTAAATGGTGAAACAGGTAATTGATAGACTGCAGAACTAAAGTCATTACTTTTCGTGCTATTGTTTATTTTCATTGCAACCCTACTTGTTATTTTCTTGTATTCACCTGTCGAGCGAAGGCAAACACCAGGCGGGCCGAGGCAGAATTCACTCTTGTAGAACGGAGCCCGTTCTCCAAGCTATGTAATCGACAACACTAGAAATCATTTCTTCTTCTTTCATAGTCTCTATTTGGTGGTTAAAGCAAGCGGAACAAGCAAATTGTACTCGGATTGTGGAAGTAAAGAAAAACAAATAGCCTAATTAAGGAAAAGTTTTTTCACCGCTCCCACTTCAAGGTGCTGTCAGTAGACACCACGCTGAAGGAAAAACGAAGACCATTACCTTATAGGTTCGCATATTTAAAGCAAAAGAAAAAACCGAAAAGATATATGAAGATTTGACATGTTGACTTATTTTTTTATGTCGTGTCTTCCTTGAGGCAAGATCATTTTTAGCAGCCTTGAAATGTTGCATATAGCCCGAAAACAATAACTGCCATTGTGCTTCATATTTCCGAAACTTTTCATTCAAGCGATGATATTATGATTTAAGGTTGCCAAGAGTTGACTTTGAAAACACTTTAGCCCGGAGCGATGACATTGTCTTTGCAGTAGTCTCAGACAATCTAAGTTTTTCTCGACAGAACCCAGAAAGGTTCACCTCTCTCGATTTTTTAACTGAATGTACCCTGATTAAATCTAATATTCTTTTATTCCAGTACTATTGTCCACAGAGAGCTCACAAAAATTTGAGAACGTAAAAAAAACTAGGTTGAATTAGACTACACCTTTTTCAGAACGTTCTCGTGATATAAATAATTCTGTAAGGACTGAAAACTTTAAATTAATCACAGCAGGTTAGTTCCGACTTAAAGAAATGTCAAAGAATTCAATTTTATTCTTGACAGAGAACTTAGCCTGATTGTTATGACGCAATCGGAACACTTTCATTGGTAATTTACATGGTTTTTAAATTTTCAACAGACAAACACTTCAATCCCATGTTTTGGCCCTATTTTTAAGAACTCGTGAAAAACTTTTTAAGTCTCTCGTTTTGCGGGATCTCCGGGGGACATAAAAATAAGCAATGATTATTTTGATTTGACATTTAACCCATAAGAGGAACTCCGATAAGTCTAAGCATTCTGGTTGGGCCTTTAAGCTATTAAGAATCTACTCAAGGGATTCTTTCAAGAATATTTTCGACACAACATTTTCGTTTTCCTTGCAATTCTCTTCATGGTTTAGATTGCTATGTAAATTAATTTAGCTTCTCTGCGGTCGTTATCATAAATAAACTTTCATTTAAGAGTAACTAATTAACTATAACTAATGAGTTCTTACTCATTTGTGTGTGCGGTACGTTATTGATTTGATGCCTGTTTTTGCATGCGGTTCGTTTTATGTCTTAATGGTAAAGAATTATTTCAAGGATGTGATGGTAAATTGCAACCTTGAAATGATACAGCGGATGTAATACATTGAAAGTGTGTTCCTGTCAATGTTTTGTTTGAAATAAGCGATTTTCTTTCTGCCGTTGGAAGATGGAGAGCAGCAAATTACTTGTTACCTTTCTACTGTCATTACCACTGAGTATTGACGCTTTCCTCGGCGCTAAACACTTCAATCGAGATGACAAACGAGGAGAACGACATGCATATTTTGTGAGAGATCCTGCAAAGCGACTAAATTCTTCTATTCTAGATAGTTTTATGGTTTCCGAACCTATGGGGTGTGTTTTTCGATGTATTGGTCACCAAGAATGTTATTCGGTAAATTTTGCTGCGTTTTCACATGACGGAAGGCATACGTGTGAGCTGTTGAACGCGGACAAGTTTCAAAACTCCAGCAATTTTCTTCATAGCGTAAACTTTGACCATTACAACATTAAGGTAAGTGCGAACGTATTTCGTTTAACTATTTTCGTTTAACATGTTGTGTATTCATTTTAATGTCATGTACTACAAAAAGGGAAATTCGTGTTCACTCATATCAATTTTGATATAATCTCCGTGAAGAATTGATTATAATTTTCCTTCTGGATATTGATGGCGACAGGGGGTCGAAAAAATGGAAATTTAGGGAAAGAGAGTGCTGGCTTTGTTTCTTTTCGTGCGTTTGGCCAGGCCTTGACAGAGTGAGTTTGGGAAGATTACGTCATCTACTTTGTTCTTATTAGTGCTGTGTTATTTTAAGAAATATTTTTTGTCTTGTGGAATAGAGCCCCTGCATGAGCAATCCCTGTCTAGACGGAGCCTTATTCTGTCGACCAATTTACCAGCAAGACGATTATCAATGTGTCTGCAAACCAGGTTTTACTGGACACTACTGTGAAACGGGTGAGTTATTAAACTGAGCTGTATTTTTCATGTATCATTTTTTAATGTTCTAATCTCTCCCCCCTCTACCCAGAAATCTCATAGACCTCTCCCATGAAAGGATAAACAAGCCAGCATAGATTCTTTAAGATTTACAGACTGCAACAAAACACGGTTGATTGACTGTTTTGATATTTACTAATAACGTATTTATAATAAAATTCTTGCAGATATTAACGAATGCTCCAGTAATCCTTGTTTAAACGGAGGAGTTTGCAATGACCAAGTGAATGGATATGTATGTGCCTGTCTTGCTGGATACACTGGCCTTCACTGTGGAACAAGTAAGTAAGGGAACCAGATTGAATTTTTTACACTTCGATGGATGGATTTTAAGTAGGATATCAACATTACTTTTTAACTTGTTGAAAAGTGTGCCAAATAAATCATCAGTAATTGTTCTATCTTCACAAAGATATCAATGAGTGCTCCAGTAATCCCTGCTTGAATGGAGGTACTTGTACTGACCAAGTTGATGGATATGTTTGTTCCTGCATCGCTATGTACACAGGACCACGATGTGAGACTGGTATGTAAACAACATTTTGTATTTGACTTCATAACTACTGCGTAAAAGCATGGGCCTCGTTATTTTTGCTGCGAGAAGAGTCATTGAACGAGTTACATCACATTCAAAGGACGAATTTCAAAATATTTGAAGTTTCTGAAACGTTTTGACATTGAGCAGGTTCATAGGCGAGCCACCTGATGGATTTTGAGTTTAAAGCCTCGCCAGATGCCGTGTTGAGACAGATTGCTTGCATTGAATATATTGCCCCTCGTTTACGATAGAGATATCATGGATCATGTTTTCTTTTATAAGACCGGTTACGGCTATATTGATATTGACGCTCGTGACGTAAAGGATTGAGTCGGTCAAAGGTAACATGCTCGCCGCGGCCAGTCCGCTGGTTGCTTACTGTCAAGTAATTTTTTAATTTACTGTCAAGTAATTTTCAAGCTCCATATTTTTTTCGTACTGTAAAATTGTGGAATACTATGTGCAATGTTGCAGAATTCCTTAGTAATTTTATCTCCGTGGGAAAAATCTTTTAACTTTAGTTTCTGATTTGGACGGGATCCATTCTTGGTTTATCTCAACGGATTTTTAATGTCACCATCTTAATGTCACCGCCTCTTGAAGGCGAAACTTTTCCTAATGAAAGGCATTTGTAACAGTTGCGAAATTTTTTATCAACATCTCTCAATAAACGGTTCCTTTAGAAACCACCAAATGCTAAAAAAGTGAACCGGCCCTCGGAAGTTAACAAAGAAGAAAAATAAAAGTTATAAAATTATAATAATTCAATACCTATTTTGGCTTTCACATACTACTACAGACGTCCAATTTTCATAGGCCAGTCAAGATACTAAACCAAAAGAAAGTAGTTTGAAGCGAATTCGAAGCGCACTTTGAGCAATTTGAGCACTTGTTAACTCATCGATGGTCGCCAAAGAATTGAGAAAATTTAACAGCGAAAATTTTGTTTGCGTTTCGGGAATTACCTTAAGGGTGTGCTCCTTAATCAAAACGTCAGCTGTTAGAAATCCGGAGAAAGAGCCTTTAACGATTATGCCTCCTTCTGCAACAATATTGGTCGAAAAATTCGAATGCGGCCGTCGGAGGGAACAAAATAGAAGAAAGGACGCCAAGTCTCTTTCAGCAAAATTTCGCGCGCATTCTAAATTTCGCATCATCAAAACTGGAAAATGAGTAGAAGTTCAAATTCTAGGCTATTATATGATATAAGTTTCATTAGTTTTGATTACGAATTGTGTTTGTTAGGAAAAATCTCGTGTTAAAGGTCACGTCGACATTCTTTGTGCTCTAAACAAAGAAAGGACGCCAAGTCTGTGTCTATAAACTTCGCTGTTTTTATACGTGCTCTTTGTAGCAGTATTTCTCAGCCTTTATTTGATATAAGTTTCATACCATTTCATAAACATCGGCGAAAATCACTTGGCGAATATCACTCGGCGAAAGTCACTCTGATTTGGCTTTACGCAAACTGATCATAATCTTCGGGATATCAAAAAGTTTTATTACATTTAACGATTAACGTTTAATGAATTGAGAGGCTGCACAGAACTTCTGAGTCCCTCTTCTTTTCGCAATATACTACTACATCTTTCTTTTAATTTGATTTGAGTTTCACACGACAGGTTTCACGTAAAGAGAAAGTCAAATCGCCACCAGTGGCGATTGAACTTAAGGCGTGTTTTGTGGTGACGAGTTTGTTGTAATGGCGATTTGACCGTAAACCTGATGAAAATCCTACATTTATGACTGCTAAGTCACCCTAACTAGAAAGTAATCCTTTTCCTTTACTTGCAGTTCGTATTTTGGACATTTATATTCGAAGCGAAGGTTGCGACGATCCTGGAAAAGCACCCAATTGCGGCAAAGCTTACATTAAGGTGGATGGGACGGATTATTCTCTTCAAAAAAGAGGATTTAACGTTGTTGTTGTGAATGGTGAAACAGGTGATTGACAGACTGTGGAACTGGAGTTGTTAATTTATCATCTTCATTATTTTTTTCCCGCGTTTTTCATTCGAGCGCAGGCAAGCCCTAGGTGTGCCGAGAATGAGTCACATTTATTGGAGAGGTTTGTTTCGCGGCGGAAGAGAACGAACGTATAATATCTTCCGTTATTAAGAGGACATTTTCATTTGCCTTTGTGTTCACTCGCCTCAGAAAGGGAAGAAAACCGACAGATGTTCTCCAAGTTTCGTGACAGCCAGAAAACGTTGACAATTTTCTTTCGTCTCGCCCCTTACAAACGCCATTCGAATGGATTGCGAGCGTAAAATAAAACAGACAACATGGACAGGTGTCGTCCCTGTAAAATGCCGAATTGAGCATTATGCCGAAAAGAGTAAGACACATATATTATGACTGATTATGTAATTGGAACCATGTTGTCACTCAATATTTGTCACGAAATTGCGGATACGATACGGATAAGATACGGCTTCGTCGAACTGCCTTATTTTGGTGACGATAAAACTTTAAGAATGCCAGGTTGTGAAAATGATAAGAGTAAATGGAAGATAAATTGAATGCGTAATACCCATCACTACCACGTTGTAATCACACAGTGATGGTGGTGGGTGATTTCAAACAAAATTTACGAAAACCTCGGTTTTGGTGAAGATGATCTGCGATTGCTGATAATCAGAAGCGCTTAAAAAAATATCAAAATCACTAGACAGAAACATTTGTAACTTGTTGCTCAAGTTGCAAAATCCTTCACGATGTCCCTGTATTAAGATATCAAAACTTCTCTCTAAAAAAAAATAAAAGACGATGTAAGAGCTGAACTATTTGAATTTTAACCTCAAAACATGTAACTTCATGTCAGGCAAGCTTCATCATTCGCAACTGTCAGATAGGCCGAGGAACAACGATAACAGTATCACAACAGTAACAGAAAAGAGCTATATCCCAATGTTGAATCCAGTGCTAGACTAGAATTCACTCTTCTCAGAGAGAGAGAGTTCTTAAATAGGATCGAAAATCCACAGATCTTCTGTCTGTATCGAGCCCTAATAGAGTACGTGACTTGAGGTCAATCTTAATTAGCATGTGCACTTTCTGTGAGTGCCTAACAGAGTTCGAGGCTTGAGGCAATTTTTCTTGACATGTGCGTTTTCTGTGCGTGACGAATAGAGAATGAGACTTGTAGTCAACCTAAATTGACACGTGCGTTTTCTGAGCGCGCTGAGTAGAGTGCGAGAAGTCATTCCCACTCGACATGTGAGATTTCTGAGCGTGCCGAATAGAGTGCGGGACTCAAGGCAATATTACTTGACATGTACGTTTTCTGTGCGTGCTGAATATGTGCGAAACTTGAGGCAATCTTGCTTGACATGTGCGTTTTTTGCGTGCCGAATAGAGTACGAGACTTGACGTCAGCCTTACTAACCATGCGCGTTTTGTGCGTGCCGAATAGAGTAAGAGTTTGTAGACAATTTCATCGACATGCACGTTTTTTGTACGTGCCGAATAGAGTGCGAGACTTGAGGCGATCTTGCTTGACATATGCAATTCTGTGCGTGCCGAGTAGAGTACGATTGTTGTAGTTAATCTCACTTGACGTGTGCGTATCTGTGCGTGCCGAACAGAGTACGAGTTTGTTAATAATCTCATAAGACCCATGTGCGTTTTTTTGTGCGTGCCGAATAAAATGCGAGACTTGAGGCAATCTTTTTTGAAATGTGCGTTTCTGTGGGTATCGAATAGAGTGCGAGACGCATTCAATCTTTCTTGACATATGCAATTCTGTGCGTGCAGAATATATACGATTGTTGTGATCAATCTCACTTGACATGTGCGTATCTGTGCGTGCCGAACAGAGTACGAGAATTGAAGTCCGCCTTACTTAATACGTGCGTTTTGTGTGCGTGCCAAATAGAGCTCGAGACTTGTAGTCAATCTCATTTAAAATGTGCGTTTCGTGCGTGCCGAATAGAGTGCGAGTGTTGTAGACAATCTCACTCGACATGTGCGTTTTCCGTAAGTGCCGAATAGATTGCGAGACTCGAGCAATCATAGATGACATATGCGTCTTCTGAGCTTGTCGAATAGAAAGCAAGACTTGAAATCAATCTTGCTCGACATGGGTGTTTTCTGTGCGTGCTGAATAGAGTGAAAATTTTGAGGCAATCGTACTTGAAATATGCGTTTTTCTGAGTGCTAAATAGAGTGCGAGACTTGAAGTCAATCTTATTTGACATATTCATTTTCTGAGCGTGCCGAATAGAGTGCGAGACCTTAAGTCAACTTACTTGACATGTGAATTTTCTGTGTGTGCCAAATAGTGTGCGAGACTTGCTGCAATCTCACTAAACATGTGTGTTTCCTGAGCGCGCCGACTAGAATGCAAGATTTTAAACCAATCTTACTTGACATGTACGTTTTCTATGCGTGTTGAATAGAGTGAGATCAGTAGTTAATTCTAATGACTGGAAGGTGTGGTGCGAGTTTTTCTTCAAACACCGAAACCAACTCTTTTGGAAGAGCAACTCTGTTAAACTCAGATAAAGGGCAAACCAAGATTCTGAAGAATGGTTTCTATGTTACTTGGAATACAAAACAAAGATTTGGTGTTAATTGCAAATAGGACCCGAACTTAGTGTTCATTAAGTATTGTTAACGTGCGAAGAATTTAGTGTGATCACCTTTTTTTACGCAACATTATAATTAATAATTACATTATTATTGTAATTAGCATTAAAAAAATATGTTCAGTTGTCCACGTTTCTTAGGTTAGGTTAAGTTAAGTTAGTTAGTGGTTGTGTATCTAGCGAAAAGTTTTTTCACGTTCTTTTTAAAATGTTGTTCTTTGCTTCAACACAACAAAAGTAGGGTAGGGATATGTGTGCGCCACATCGAGAGAAATCGAACTTTCGGTTCAACCGACAATTTTCCTTTTACAGATATATATATATATAGGAGGTATTCGCCGAGGAAGGAAGCAATAAAGTTCCTATTCACGGAACGGGAAAGCTGTGACTATGATATAGTTATGGGTAAATCGCTACGTGAGGACGAGGCGTTAAACACCTTTTACTTCGAAAATATGGAACGAGCTGCTTCCAAGATTCAAACATCCATCTGTGGCAGTTAAAAAAGTTAGAGGTAGATTCGAATATCATATCAAATGAAGAGATCTGTGGAGAAACCTCTTCGAACAATAAGATATGATGACGTAGCTTGCCTAGCGATTGTACTTCTGAACATATGGTCGCGGTGATACTCGCAATAAAGCAGAAAATTAATATCAGGAGTGCATGCACTATTTTGCCATCCTGATAAATTCTTAATCCGTTTTGATAAAAAAATATGCGGAGAGGATCGCCCGCAAATAACTGACGGGATTCTTATTATATCTAAGCAGCTCGAGTCAGTACCATTAAAGAGAAAGATATGATATATGCTGTTTTGAAAACGAAATCGTCGAATTCTTTTAGGTTCACAAGTAGTCTCTTCACCGGCTATCACATTCTTCACCTATTCAAACATTTCACCAACTTTGGTGAATTTTAATATGTTATCTTTTCCTAATATTTGTATTATCTCTCCCTTGAAAGCTTATTTCGATTATGTTGCAAAGCCATTTGTTACAATAAATAAAATTTCCATTGTAGGACCTTGTTGTTGTCCAAAATTGTCGCTACTTAAATTTAATAACGCTAGTTGAGTTTTGGTTAAACAAGGTAAGAATTAGGAGACTCAATTTACGTAAAGTTACGCTCGGGGATGTAAGCGTCTCGTGAGCTGTTCTGACTTTTGTTAAAACGAGACAAGAATCCAGAGCCAAACAAGCTATGTCACCGAAAGGACAGCATTCACAGCGAGAGCAATTCGACGAAGCCGTATCTTGCGTGACCAATACTAAGTAACCACATGGCTTTAACTGCATAATCAGTCATAATTTATGCGTCGTGCTCCAAGTTCGGCACGATGCTCTATTCAGCATCTTACAGTCCCCCAGTCCAGCTTCAAGATGATGTCCACATTGTCATACAAAAAAAGGAAATTCGCAGAACTTCATGTTATCCTTACTCGGATTTAAAGAAAAACCTGAAAGATAGAAGATAATGCACTAAATATTTTCAGGTACAGGTGTCTTCTTGCAGCAAGAGCATTTGATACTCATGCAGATTATTGTTTTCATAACCATCACTACTTATTATTTTCTTGTGTTCACCTGTCGAGCGGAGACAAGCACGAGGCGGGCCGTGGGTGAATTCACTCTTGAAGAACGGGGAACACAAAGACGTTGCCCGTTCTCCAAGCTATGTCATTGACAACGCTAGAATCATTTCGTCTTCCCTCATGTTCACTATTCGGTGGTAAAAGCAAGCGGAACAAGCAAATTGTACTCGGATTGTCGACGTAAAGAAAAAAAAAAGCCAAAGGGAAACTTTTTCGCCGCTCCCACTTCAAGGTGTTGTCAATAGACGCCGCGTTGAAACAAACGAAGACCATTACGTTATAGATTTGCATGTTTAAAGCAAAAGAAAAACCGAAAATATATATGACGATTTGATTTTTTTTTTTATGTCAGGTGTCTTCCTTGAGGCAAGATCATTTGATACTTACGAATATAGTTCGAGCGGCTATCATTTGAGAGACTACCTGAACAGCCTGAGTGGCAAGTATGTTATAACTAATTAGTAACTATTGTTGTACGTACAACACCTTAAGTACTTTTGCTAGACAATAAATACTCCCGACCTGATGATAAGGCTTCCTTCACCGTCCATTTCGATTATCCTGCTTGAGTAGAAAGACGCTCTTTTCTACATTGTTTTTTACACGCCACTCCTTTCTCGCCTTTGAAGCAAAGAAAGAGAAAGAAGCGGCTGCTCTCGGAGGCTACCTTACCAATTTACTATTTATAATCATATGTCTTTCAGGAACCCGTCAACGGGAGCCGCTATCTTCACTGATTCTTTGAGTCAACACTTTCCCTGAGTGAAAATATTTTTAGAACCACAGCTTTTCCCCGCAAAAAGGACTATATTCCGTCGCAACAACCGCGAATCGCAAAATATGGTTTCACCGCCCAATGCAAATGAGCAGATGATTTGGTCGCAGAACGCAAAAATTGCACTAGGAACCTTTCTGTCAGTAGATATACTCGGGAAAGGGTTGACTCCAAGGCTTAGCATGAGAGATAGTTAGGTAGAGAGATGGAAGGCTTAGTATGAGACTCCTACTGTGGGAGAAGGGTTTTGTTGTAATATGATATACACATGCATAACTTTTCTCTGATGGCTGAATGTTATGATATACACGCATCTTTTCTAGTTTTTTAGTGTGTGTGTTGGCAACAGATAAGGGGTTTTTTTTACTCTCATTTTCAACTGATCTCACCCTTTTGCATTTGGTGTCTTTGCTCTCGACACAGTAAAATCGTTTTGGTTGCTACTCAAGATTCAGCCTCCGAGCACATGTCACCTGCAATTGACGCTCTCAAGAGACTGGGTGCTACCGATCCTCTTCAAGGAAACCACCGAGATTCCTTTGCTTTCGCTGGATACGCAGGAGTTAATAAACCACAATGGATCACACAAAAAAGAGCAGATAGATACCTGGGACCCAGTGAAATATTTCCGCAAATACCGCTGTCAATTAATCAATAGATCGGAACTACTCTAAGATGAGCGAGGAAACATAAAGATTCAAGACTATATGAATCATTGAAATGCTCCCAAAAAAATCTGGTGATATTTTAGATACCATAGCAAATCTGCAGTTACAGTCGCCAGAATGGCGACCTGTGTTTGGATGTTCTGAAGCATTTAAGGATATACAGTACACAATCGAGTTTTTTTTTTTTTTTTTTTTTTTTCACTTCCAATGAAGCATTACTATTTTAACTACAGTTTTCCAAAAACCAATTTGCTAAATATTGAAATTCACTTAATAAGTTAAAAAAGTGTGATTAGCCAATTTTAACATGTCACCTCAAATGATTCCCTAAGTGTTTTATGTGGCAAAAAATCCTGGTCTTTGAATTTCAGTCGCGTAAAAATCTCCTGTTTTCGATTGCACGTGGAGATCTTTGCTGTCTGTCCGCGTTTAAAACCAGACTGTAAAGAGAGAATAAAAGAGAACAAAAGGGGTAGAGTCCTTAGGTGAAAATCATGCTGTTAAAGTTACACTTTTTCTACAATGAATATTCCCTTTCTCTCCTCGGTTGTCGTAACATTAAACCTTGAAATATTGCGTGCAGTTCAATGGCAATTGATACCTTATTGCCTTTTGTCAGAAATTTTCATTCAAGAGAAAATTTTA